CTGAGGAATTCTGGGAGTTGAAGTCCACAAGTCTTAAAGTTGCCAAGGTTGGACACCCCTGATTTAAATCATATATACAGAAGTATACAAAGCTATTAATATATATTGTTTTCTGTGGAAGCTTCCATATTTGAGCTATGTTCTTATGCATTTTAAATTGTGTTTGACTATTCTGCCTTGATAGTGAAGTGGTATCACGTGGTACAGTTACCATGTCAATGGGTGCTGTTCCCAGGTACAGCTTTCTAATCAGCAATTTTCAGACAGATAGTCCTTGACATAGAACCATTCATTTAGTGACCATTCGAAGTTATTGACAACACTGAAAAAATGGGAATTACACTTACATCTACTGCAGTATCCTCATCATCATGGGATCAGAGTTGGCAACCAGCATGTATTTATGAGTAGCAGTGTCTGGGGTCATGTGATCACAATTTGAGACCTTCCCAGAGGACTTACAACAGTCAATGGTTGGTTGTCAGCTGGTTCGTTTAACTACTGTATGACTGCATCCCTTAATGATGTAAGTTCTGATCCCAACTATGGTTGACCATCAAAGTTTGATAGGTACATCTCTGTTTTTTCAAGTGGTGTCAGTTGCAGAGCTTCCCCAAGGCACCAATTTCCTCACTGATCTATAATTCTTTATTTCTACATAATTATTACCAAAATATGTTCTCTAATTCCATAACTTGCTCCCTAGTTCAAACTTTTAATTTTAAATCTGTGAGCAGAAACATGTAGGGAAATAAACAATTGTTTCTGTTTTTCAAAATCTTTCATTTCCTCTCAAAACTCTATGCTTCTTCATTCACTGCTTACATTCAATGATATATAAGCACCATAAGATTGCATACAATGCTCAAAAGAACTGTCCAAGGCTCAGGACTATAACAAAAAAAATATATGCTAGTTTCAATCCTGGCCCGCAGCTAGCAAACTGGAGCATTTTGAAATCACTATTACAAGAAATTAATAATTTGATTTCTGATGATACCTAAATTTAAATCAGGAGACATAGGAATGTTGCATGTTTTGGGGGTACCTTTCTTTATCAAAAGACAAAGTGATGGAGACAATATCACTCTGATTGCCCAAAGACAGAAGTCACTTTTTTTTAAATAATTGAAGAATATTTTAAATCAATTCTGCTATTAATTCTATTGCACTTTAGTTTTGTGAATCAGACTGACAATCTGTTACAAATATTTACCAATAAAAAATAGGAATGAGGCAGAGATTGTGGTAGATAGTTTAGAGGGATAAAGTTTGCTTATTTAAAAGAAACTAGTGAGAATTTATTCCGTAATTCTATTTTTAGATTTTTTTAGTGTTGTGACAGTGGCGGTACAACAAACCTTAGCTTACTGATCTTCATTTTGTAATTAATCAAACTATACAGTCCATAGTTTTGGGAAGTAGTTTATGAGCATATTGAGAACTCACGATTTATCTATCTTACCAAAGCATTGCTAAAAATCTTAGTATGTAAAGTCAAATCCAAAGTGGCCTATTGCTTTTCACTTAAAGCTTTACAAATATGAGTTAAAATAAATTGATGGCAACATTTTGCAAGCTTGTTTTATCCTACCTTATTTTTTCTATTCACAGATTTGGCTGGATATCTGAAAATAAGTAAAAAAAAAACTATATTAAGATTTTAATTATTTTTAGCCTGAAATTCTGAAAATTTAGAATTGCTAATCCTAGACCATCCATTCTGAATCTAATGAGCTTAATGGTGCAGCAGAAGTGCAGCCTAAATATCTATGAATCTCAATGGATCTTCACACTATATCGAGCGAACTTCCAGCATGATTCCTTTAAGAAATAAATTGGTCAGTTTTCTCTTTTTGAAATTCTTTGCATCTTATGTACGATGTAGGCTTCTGTTAGGATCATAAAGTTGATATGCAAGTTTGGGAGCATAGTTACTGTTCAGGGGCACATAAGAATGCACCTCAACAGTGCATTCTTATGCAATTTTAATAAGTTTTGGCTAGGAGTATCACTGGTCTAAATCCAAATAAGACTGAATTTTACATTAATTCTAAGAAAAGAGCCCCATACCTTTCTTCAAGTGATGCTTCACTCAAACTGCTCTCATCTTGTGGCTCATGTAGATTATTACAAAACTGTTGACTGACCTTCTGTTTAGAAGTCCGTCTTTTATTTTCACTTTTTCTTGTAGTTTTTAAACTGCAGGATTTTTTTAAAATAAAATAATAATAATTGAACACCACTTTAAAGATAATTTTATTTGTGAAAAAAGTTAAAATATAAAAATAAAACAAAGACATATTACTAAGAATCAATGAATGGCAAAAATGTATAATCTCTGACAGCATACTGGATTTAGGAATTCAAAGTTATATGAATAAAGTGTTAATTGTTATCAATGTAATGATATATAGCTGTGTGCATCTGGGGAAAATTTGAAATGAAGCCCCAAAGCTTCTATCATAATGTTTCTCAGTGAATCGAAGGAATTTTGGTCCTTACTTGTGCTTAAACTGAAATGTTTCTGTATCAGTACATGAATACCATATTTAAAATCAAGTAAGAGTCCTGAAGGTCAAATAATAATTATTTTATTAATAGATTTTTATCCCATTTATATACATTTTAAACTCAAGATAGCAAACATACGTAATATACCTGTATCCTAATTTCCCCACAACAGTAACCCTGTGAAGTGGATTAGGCTGAGAAAGGATGACTGATTTTAGCTATTCTGATAGCAGAGAGACAGGATAGGTTTATTACATTTGCTCCCACTAGCAGTTTATCAACGAAGTATTTTCAGTCAGACAAAAGATAATTATTTTGATGCACTATGATTTCTATTTTTGTTATTTTAGTTGTTTATATTTATTTTAAAAATATAAAATATTGCACTTGATTGATCCTGGCTGACCTCAAAAGCTAAGGAGAATAGACCCTAGTTAATGCTTGGATGGGAAAATGCTAGGAATCCAAGCGCTGCTAGCTATGTCAAGTTAAACAAAAATCCTATAAAGTATCAATGATGAACAGTACAAAGAAAATTGTGCGGAAACAGTGACAGGAATCAAACCTATCCTGAGGTTGTCTTCACCTTTATTTTAATTATTACTTAAAATTTGAAGAAAGACTATAACTTAATGATGGATGAAAAAGACTGGAAGCAAAAGATCTCGGTTTTAGTCATGACACTATGTCTTGTTTAATCATGACTAAAGAAAAGGTTTGGGACAATATATTAAATAATCTTATTTCCTGTCTGTAGAACATTTAAGGCAACTTCTTATTTTTGCAATTCTTACCTGAAAAAACAATGATTTTAAACAATGATCATCCAGTTAAACTAATGCTTAGTGTTAAGATAATTATCTATGCTTTGGTTACATTTATAATATTATATGCCTTAAGTAAATTAAAAACAACACAATAAAGTTTAAAAGGAAGTTATTACATTGCAACACTGCATAAAAATTAGTCAAATCAGTTTATGTAATAGCATCAACTTAATGTTATTGCTATACTTACCCTGGACAAATCATTTCCTTTTTATCTTCTGGGAAAACACTTTTTATTGTAATATGCTGGATTTCACTTATTGAATGTTTTTGCTCTATCTTCTCATCATTATTCACAGCCAACATTTCAGTATTAGCAAATTTTTTTCCTTCAGATTCCAATTCCTTTTTTATTTTTTCCTCTTCAATCTAAAACAGTGATATATTGAAATATAGCTTTAAGAACCACAATAAAAATATCAGTAACATTTTTGCTTTATAACAGATTTTTGCTTAATATTTCAGAACAGCCCTAGAAAAGAATCACTCAACACCAAGATTACAAATTAATAATTAGTATTGTCTAATCAGAAATAATGGAAAAATCATATATATTAGTGATAGGAAAAGTGCATTAGAAACACACATTTTTATTATAAACAGAACAGATATTGTTTTAAAAGGTGATCAACAACATCGTACTACAGAAACTAAATATAAGATAGAAATGTTTCACACAGAGCAAAAAAGTGTTAAGCAAGCATGATAAGAAATGGAAAGATCAATTAAGAACCTGTTCAAAACCCAGTTTCACACCTTGGATCAAATTTATAATTAGTATAACAGTGGTGCAGTTCATTTGTTAATGAAGTAGCACCTATGTAAACTGAGCTTTTTGAGTCTTTGTTATGATAGTTGTATCATACTTCAATTTCCGAATGTTCTTAAAATAAAAAGGGTAATCATGAAAAAGGTGTAATTTCTTCCCATATTCACATTAGAATTACTATGTGAAGCCAACGCATAAATGCTTTTTTCATATAGTGCTGAAGAGCTGAAATGAACAGAATGGCTGAAATGCAAGAAAGATGGAAGAATGAAAAGCAGCAGGTACTTCTCTACCTCTTTTTGCAGTTGGTTCTTTTCTTTCTCCAAAGCGAGGAAAGCCGAATGCAGTATTCCTACCTGATTTTTAAATCTTGCAACATCACCTTCTAATTCTTCATCCAGGTCTTTTTTGGATATTTGAGGACATACTTGTTTATGATTTTTCATTTTATTTCCAATGTCAGTATCAGTACCTTTGGAACTATTGATACTGTTATTAAAATGGTATTCAGTTTCTTCACTTGGATTTTTTGTAACACTAATATATTTATATAAGTTGTTGGGGGTAATTGGTTGATTAGCATCTATAGTTTTAAGAACTGTATCTTTGGTAATGTCTCCATGACTTTGCAATGAATATTCAAGGCATTTTTCTGCAGCTCTAGTTCCACCTACATTTGCTTTCAGTTGTATAATTGAATTGTTACTCCTTTCTTCACTGATGTTTACTTTTGTTCCATTTGCATTATTAGACAGTGGGTTCTTGTTCCAGTCATCAGTATTTAATTCTCTTTCTGCAACAACAGATCTTATATCTTTAATGTCATCCTTCCCTTGAATATCCACTTTTATGTTTTGTAGATGAAGCGATGTTTCTTTTATGCCTTCTACTGCACCGCAGAAGCCATCCTGTGATGTTACTTTGCTTGGAATGCTACTCATTTTCTCATAAACCTTAATTTCACCAAACATCTGTTTTAGTTCTGCTGTAATACTCTTAAAATTTGCCTTGACTTCCTTTTTTTCATTTGCAACCCACATTTTTTCATATTTTTCTTCCCAGTGTATTGAATCAAAATGATTGCAGTCATTATGTGCTTCTTTGCTATGCATGAGTGCTTCAGTTACATTTTCATTATCAGCATACTCAATTTCAGTCTTGTCAGTCTGTTTTTCATGTGTTGATTTTTCTACAGAGCTGGATATGTTTAACAGGCATTTTTCCTTATGCAAGCAAGTATGGATAGAGAAAAATTAACAAAGAAAAACCAGTGTGTTAAATTGTGTTTCAAATGTCATAAAGGGTTTGATTTTGAGAGTATTTTAAGAGGAACAAGGAGTATTTTTCAATTATATATATATTTTTATTAAATACATAATTTAAATGTTTGGAGAATAATTTCATGGCAGTACAGTACAGGCGGTACAGTATAGCATAATTAAATTTAAAATAGCTTTCCTTTTTTGTCATAGCAAATTAATAGCTTATCAATTCTATCTAGCAGTGTCCCTCTAATTGAGCAGTTGGAAAAAAGCAGTCAGATTCTCCACTATCTATGAAGCTCATAATCTTAAAATCAATAAGCATTCTACATATCTGGCATCCTCTTCGGGATAGGAGTGTCCAATAATATGTAGCCTCTCTCAACTCAGTCAATATCTTACTGATAGCACTCCAAAATTGAACACAATCCTGTGCAAAATGTCTAGAAGTGGTACCAATTGCTAGAACTTTATGAAAGTCAGATTTTGCAACTGCTGAACATATCTCTCTTGGAAATTTTATTAAATTTATGTTTGAATGTTATTTTGATATGACCTATCAAGTACCTGTTATTAACTCTTGCCAGTGTACAACAAAACCGTTATCACCAACATAGACTCTAAATACCAAGCATAACCATGTATCATAATCAGCATTACTGATTAAAAGGACCATAATCCCACCAAATTTTTAAATAAAGATGCAAATAAAAATTCTAATTTGAGACTGAATAAGGTACAACACATCTTACCACATCTGAGATGGGGTAAGAAGGTATTCCAGAGAATGGGTGACAAAAAATTTTTTTTTTAAAATCTTATATCAAATTAATGTCCACAGTAGTGACACAATCAAGTAGGAGCAATGACGGTTGTATATGCCAGGCAGGTCTTTGTGATAGAAAATTTTCTCTCGAGTACCAGCCTCAAGTATCAATGCACTAAGTTATTTAAATTCTTGAATTTCAAATGTGGTATCAAATTGATACCTACAGTGCACTTCTTTCAGCAGCGCTGTTATACAGCACAACTCAATCTAATATAATTTCATACTACTGTATTGCTAAAAACCTTATAAGATGCCAATTTCACAATTCCATTTGTTCTGCTGCTGGAGGAATTTTCAATTGAGTTGCACAGAAAAATAACCCCATAGAAACAGCTCTAGTGGAAACACATCAAATTTAATCTGCAAGTTAAAGTCTGCCTGGTTTAAGTAGGGTAGTTTTTTAGGGCAAGTAACTAACAGGGTCTCTCCAGGAACATCTTTATGAATAAAACTCCCAGAGGTATCTGTTAGCTCAAGAATAGGTGTATATAATTAAAAACAATTCATTGGTTCTAATAGTTTCTATAATTTCCAAACAGGTAACATTTCATCAGAGTCTTTCCTAATTTGAATACATTTCAGATGTATAAACTTCCACTCTCAGACTTGTCCCAAATTCCCCATTGCTGAAGAGTCCATGAATTTGGAATACTAAGAATGAGGAAGGCCACCTATCATGACAAGGAATCTTTAATATTAAAATTGGGTGTGGACAGACAAAGGACAGGAGTAACATCTTATGCTTATTTGTATAATAAATGTGATTAATTTGTTTTTATATAATAAATCATAGATTGGCAAAACATATTAGAAGAAAATTAAAACTGTGTGCTTTGGTGACAAGATGTATGTATATAAGAAAGTAGTATGTCTTGATGGTTTAATTTACAGGGAATCATATAAAGGTTAACACTCTATTACTTTATCTATAAATTTAATTACTGTACAGAAGCAGACACCCCTTCCAATACCATTTTTGTCCCAAAAGCAGAACTTTTAGTTTTTCCTTTACATATACATCAAGGGTTCCATAATCCACAGCTACAGAATAAAGAAATGATATGGGATTAATATTCTTTCATTTCATTTTAATGATAACTAGTATTAAACGTGTCTTTTGTTTCAGAAGTGTTAAAATTTGTTTCAGCCACATAATACAAAGAAATATCAATATTTAAATAAACTTTGCATACATACCTTGCTTTTACTTTTAAATTCTTTTATGGTTTTGTGTTCAATATATTGCTGCCCTATAATAAAATGTTGAATAACATACTTGTAATTATTATAATTTTTTAGTTGATTTGCACTCTGAAAACCTTTCCAACATGTTTGACTTAAAATGAGGTTGTATATAGATAAACGCTGTTTCACAGTGAAGGGGCATTTTGAATATTATTAAATAAAAAATTACCAGTGTAGCAAATGGACCCAGCATATAAAGAATACAGTTCTTTATTTACAACTCAATGGTGTTTATCTGCTAATTTTCTACTCAAATTTGTTTGTTTTATGAAGCTTTAAAAATACAGAGATGGGTTAACTTTTGGCATGTGTCTAAAATCTAGTACAACTTATTTTTGCCTAATTCTGCAGCTCTATGCTGTCCTCATATACCTTCAGTAGATGGTATATATTCATAAGATATGAGTAGCTTCTCATATACAGTGCTTTCAGAAAGTATTCAGACCCCCTTCACTTTTATCAATTTTGTTATGCTGCAGCCTGATTCTAGTTGTTGAAATTCATTTTTTATCATTAATCTACATTCAGTACCCCATATAAAGACAAGTGAAAACAGAATTTTAGAAATGCCTGTAAATTTATTAAAAAGAAAAAAACTGAAATATCACATTGGTGTTAGTATTCAGATCCTTTGCAACAACAAACACCAACCACCACTCTGGGCTTTATAACACAGTGGCTAGACAGAAGCCTCTCAGTGCAAAACTCACTGGGAGTTTGCAAAAAAGCACCTGAAGAGCATTCAGACTGTGAGGAACAAGATTCTCCGGTCTGATTAAAACCAAGATTGAATTCTAAACGTTATGTCTGCAAGAAACCAGGCACCGCTCATCACCTGTCCAATACCATCCCAACAGTGAAGCATGGTTAGCATCATGCTGTGGGGGTGTTTTTCAGCAGCAGGGACTGGGAGACTGGTCATGGTTGAGGGAAAGCTGAATGGAGCAAAATACAGGGATATCCTCAAAGAAAACCTGTTCCACAGTGCTCAGGACCTCAGACTGGGCCAAAGCTTCACTTTCTAACATGACCATGATCCTAAGCACTCAGGCAAAACACAGGAATCACTTAGGGATAACTCTGTGAATGTCCTGGAGTGGCCCAGCCAGAGCCCTGACTTGAACCTATTGAACATCTCTGGAAGGACCTGAAAATGGCTGTCCACCGACGGTCACCATCCAACCTGACTAAGCTTGAGAGGGTTTGCAAGGAAGAATGGTAGAAAATCCCCCAATCCAGGTATACAAAGCGAGTTGTGTCATACCCAAAAAAGACTAGAGGCTATAATTGCTGCCAAAAGTGCTTCAACAAAATACTGAGTGAAGGATCTGAATGCTTATGCTGGGGGTCTGTAACCTTAAACACTCAAAGAGCCATTTGGACCTGTTTCCCACAGAAAACACTGGGAGCCACAAAACCTGGCTGGGCGTGGCCAATTCAATGTCACTCCCCCCCAGGCACATGACACACACACCCCAGCCACGCCTATCCAGGTTTCATGGCTCTCGGTGTTTTCTGTGGGAAATGGGTCTCTCTCCCTCTCTCTTCTTTCTATCCCTTTCCCTCCTTTTTTTCTTTCTTTCTCATTGAATATGATAGCAAATTCAAAATAAAGTTATTAATTATGGGAAATTCTCTGTAATCTTTTCATAGCAAACTCTAAGTTGGTAGAAGCTGGCAAGATTGTACTAACAGCAACAGCATATATATTTTGATTTCTTTTGAGTTTGACAATATAATACATTAACCAAAATTACAAATAATCTTATTTTCAGATGCAGTTTTTGCCATCTCTGTTATTTCCTTAAAAAAAATCAGTTTTGCTTCCAATTTGTGCCTTCTGACAAACTGCAGTTTTCTTGGCACGAGATCTAGCTTGCCATTACTTTCGTCATAGGTCGGGGAGAGTTCGTTTTCTTTCTTTCTTTTCTTCCTTCCTTCCTTCCTTTCTTCTTTCTTTCTCTCTCTCTCTTTCTTTCTTTTCTTTCTTTTGTTCTTTTTCTCTCTCTCTCCCCATTCTCTCTCCCTCAATTGTTTCTCTCTCTTTTTCCTCTCTCTCATTCTCTCCATCCATCATTTTCTCATTTCTCTCTTCCTCTTTTTTCTGCTCTTTTCTTTCTCTCATCTCTTTCTCTCTCTCACACACACAAGCGAAATACCCTCCTGGGCCAGGATCACGGTGGCGGTGGGGACAGGGACTCCTCCCCCACTGCCGCCACTGCGCAGTGAGGGTGAGTAGCTGGCTGCGCAGCGCAGCGGAGGAGAGCCTCGCTGCGCAGGAGAGCTGGAGCTCTTCCCTTCCTGCATCTGGCAACGGCGGCTGCTGCTCCTCCCCATTCCTTCTCCCTGAGCCAACATGAAGGGGACCACGGCTGGCGCTGAGCTGCCTGCGAAGGACGTGAAATTGCAAAAAGCAGCCAGTCGCGGACAGTGCGGAGAAAATGCTAGGGGCGCTTCAGCCGTGCGTCTCTGCAGAGACGCTCACGCCTTCTCGGGGTGGAGAGATCGCGCAACCGGGTTGGCAGGGTGCCACAGGAGGGGTCAAAGAGTCACATGTGGCTCTCGGGCTGTGGGTTGCTGACACCTGGCTAAGAGCCTCGGTGGCGCAGTGGTTAGAGTACAGTACTGCAAGCTACTCCTACTGCAATTTGGCAGATCGAATCCCACCAGGCTCAAGGTTGACTCAGCCTTCCATCCTTCCGAGGTGGGTAAAATGGGGGGCAATATGCTGACTCTGTAAACTGCTTTGAGAGGGCTGTAAAGCACTATAAAACGATATATAAGTTTAAGTGCTATTGCTGTTGCTATTATGCCAGTGTGATATTTCAGTTTTTTTCTTTTTAATAAATTTAAAGACATAGCTAAAATTCTGTTTTCACTTTGTCGTTATAGGATACTCAGTGTAAGTTATGAGTAAAAATGAATTTCAACAATTGTAGAATTAGGCTGCAGCATAACAAAATTGACAAAAGTGAAGGGGATCTGAATATTTTTTGAACGCACTGTACTTCTGAATATCATTTTAGGATGCTAAAGATAGATATATTAGAAGGCAGAAATTGCACTTTCACCACCTTAATTTCATGTATCTAGCTCCTGATATACATTTTCAGTCTGAAGTCTTGTAGTTCATTCTATCTGTATCCATTCTTTTCCACACATAGGTCAATTTAATATGGAGTATTTTATATATTACTGCAGGTTTTTTTTTTCAGTCAAAGAATCTATAACTTAAATAAGAATGAACAATTCAAAACCTTGTATTTTGATATCTGTATTTCTTAATGGAACACAAGGTCTGGTTTCATTGGTTTAGACAGCTTCCATGTTTGCATGGTTATTCATTAGGTCCATGCACAGCAATTCAGATTCACCTTCACAAATAGATTTATAAATGAAGAGAGATATTGAATCTTTCCATCAAAGGAAAAATGCAAGGGAATTTGCTTTGTATTGCTGTAAAACTTTTCCTTATATCCCTGTAACAAGCCAAAGCCAGAAAAACTTTATTCGCAAACATTTTGGGTGTGAAGAACCCAAAATAGCTTTTTGTGGGAGTGTGCTATAGAAAACAGAAAGGTATATTCTTGGGCAAAAGTTCCCAATTTTTTTGGGTGACCTTACTGGAGGAAGCGTCTTCCAATAACATACGCCAAATCTGACTAGTACATCTGAAAAAAAAATTGGAGGATCTGCAGAGGTAATCACTTGATTTGGAAAGCAGCTTCAAAGGAACCTGCACTTAAACTTTTACTGAAATTATTTCAAATATAAATATTTTGCCACTAGATTTTAGCTCTGCAATTTGATAGGTGCTGAGTTATCCACTATGGAATGAAGAAACAAATGACTGGATCCACTGTAGAATTCTACCTAGGAAAGGACACACTACTTTATCTGTTTTTCCTTCCAGCTACTACTGCCTGATGATTTATTAATGGAATATAAAAAGGAAAAATAAGCAAAATGTCATCCTATATCTGTAGCCAATGGGAGGCTTTATTAGATTTCAATTTTCTCTAGGAAGGATTTTTTTTTCTACAGAAAAAGAAAAAAAAAAACCCTTGCCTTTTAATTAACAAAGCTGTATAATAAACAATCATTCTGAGTCACTTCAGGATGTCAGAATGTTTCCAGCAGAAGAGTGGAAGAAAAACAATGAATTATTTGTTTCGGATTAGGATTATCTAAATTGGGATCAGAATTATTCTCCCTCCTCCTGCAGAAAACTTTGATTTTATTAAAAATGACAGCAACTACCTTTTGAAGACATTATGTTTTGAGTATCTGAGTCTTCCTTCACAGGCATGGAGATTTCAGGTGTAACATTTGTTTCTAGTAATTGTTGTGGAGATATATTATCTTCCAACATAAAGGTGTCAGCTGGTTTAACACATGGAGTGCTTTTAAGAGAAATACTGGTAGAATCCCAGTCAGATGGATCTAACAACAAACAAATATTTAAAAAAGATCAAAGCAGTAAATACAACATACAATACTTTACCAAATGTTAACCCAATGTATTTTGAAATAAAGTAATATAAGGATCTATGAAGTTGCCAATATTAACAACAAAAAAGTCTATGGCTGTAGGATAGTATCAGTATTCAAAATACTGATAGATACTGGAAAATATTTTGATTTAACCATTACATTTATGTATGCATATCCCAGATGAAAAGAATCCAATCTTCTAAGGTTTAACAGAAAATTACATGTGGTTTATCTTTTTTAAGAGGATACAACATTTAGTTTCATAAGCAAAATTTAATTTTAATTTTTTTTGCATAACATGGCAAAATCTGATGTTCTTAAAAACTTTCTAATGTATGATACATAAATATGCATAAAGTATTTAAAGACCTTCAATATCATCTGCTTCATCCAAACCAAGTTCTTCCATTAAATCTGAAAGAAGAAATTAATGACATTAGAATATAAAATATGCAATAATACATATGATATATTTTAAGCTCCATATAATATAGTTACCTGATTTTTGCTTTTCTATGATTGCCTTCTTTAAAACAGGAGCAGGAGATTCACACACCAAGTTTTCTTTTGTGATCTTTTGCTATAAAGATAATTCAGCTAAGAATGAAATATGATACCACAATACAGTAATAAAAATACCTAAATAAAGTTTACATAACAAAAGTAGTACTAACCTGCAAACTTGCTTTTCCTAGGGAAAAAAGGGAAACAAGTTACCTAGATAATGTACTGCAACTTTTAAATTTGTGTGAATCCCACTCTTGTATTACAAGCATAATACAATATTCATTTGTTACAAATATAACAAACAAAACTTCCAGGGAATAAATGACAAATTAGGGCCAGCTCCCAAAAAGCAGAGCCAATAAGTGGAGCAGAATGAAGAGCTGGCAAGTAGACCAGCTCTTTGTAAGTCCTGTCCAGACAACAAGGAGATTGTCCCTAGGTGCTTCAGACAGTTGTTTCTCGCAAGACAAGCCGGTCTAGAGCTGTGGGAGATAAGAGAATAGTCAACTTGCTCAAACAGCAGTAAGTGCCTTTAAAAGGAACCAGAGGTTGACATACTTCTTTTTCTAATCACTTTCAGAAATTGCTTGTAAACTGCTTTTCAGCTATTAAGAATCTTTGGATCAGCATGTTTTACAGCATCAGGTGAGGTTTTTTTCAATTCTCAGTAAAACAAATTTTAAATATGAAGTAAGGATTTAAGTTTTTTCTGGAATAAACAATAGAAGATTAAAATTTTGATTTTAGAAAGTTACAAATGGACTAAGGGACCAGATACATTTGAAATTAGACTTTTGAATTAATTATAAGAATATTTTCAATAAGAAAATGCTTTTCATTTTAAAAAAATATTAAGACAAAACTTCAAAATTGGATGCTAGCAGAAACTAGAAGTAACTAAAGATTATAATTAAAAAACTTGACTTGCTGATACAGTGTGAAGCAAAATATTATCACATATTGAAAGGTATTTCTAAACAATGGGAAAATGTTACACTGGAAATACAAAACAATGTCTGATGTCCTAATAAAGGTAAAGAGATATACAAATAACAAACCAAGAGAGTAACCTGGATAATTTTCCAATATTGGATTTACAAGAGGGTTCTTAAAGCTTTGAAGAATTTTGGGAGAAAGGACTAAGAAAACATGAAAATAAATCAAGTTCATTGACAATATTTGAAGGAACTAAAGATCAAGGTTGTTAGAAGCAAAAGGAATGAATATAAACGTTTTGTCAAGATTAAAATTGATATGTTATTTATGGTAACCATTACTAGACTTCAGGAATAAAATGATTAGGCGTTATATGTTTGTTTAAGGATAAGAAATAGAATATGGGAAGAACAGGTCATTTGTTATATTTTAAGAAAGGTGATAAATAACTAAAATTGTTTGTACTTGTGATAATTCAGTATATTTTTCTTTTCTTTATTCTTTTTCCTTTTCTATTTTTCTTTTCTGTACCCTTCTTTTTATTCTTTTGTTAGATATTTCATAGGGTTATTATAGGAGGAAAATATATAGGTATACATATAGGTTGTACATTAAGGCATAATTTGAATCAGGCAGACCCAGGATAAAGTTTTACTCAGTTATGGAAATATATTGCTGGCAATATATTGGCAATATATATAAATCCACCAACCCTCCCCCCACCATATCCTTTAGCCACTCAATTATATTTTCCATATCTAAATGACGGAAGAACATTTAAAACATTTATATATGTTGATATAACAAAAAGAATAATTTTTGATGAATTTACCATTAAATGGTTCTTGTATAATACTGTGCATGTGTATTCCAGTTTTGGCAGGAGATGTAGGCAAAGAACTAATAGTTGGCTTCCTGGGGCTTTCTGATGTGCACTATTGGAAATACACATATGTGAGAAACATCATACAACTATGGTCATATACTCATTTTGTTTATCTTTATTTTTCTACAGAAAACAAAGATATTCCTGAACATATTATGAAAGCTTTTAATTACAGAGAACATAAAAGCATTTTGATTTGTAAGTTTAGTTTTTAAGAAATGGTTAAGTTCATGGGTGGGATTCAAATTTTTTAACAACCTGTTCTGTGGGCGTAGCCTAATTTGTGGGTGTGGCTTGGTCATGGGACTGGGTGGGCGTGGTTTGCTAACTGGGTGTGGTTTGGTGGTCTCGTGACTGGGTGGGCGTGGCTTGTATGTAAATATTGTAAATATTTAATTTTTTATTTTAAAAAAGAGCAACTTCTACCCCAAAATCAGGCAAAACAGGCAGGCAGGTTGAGTTGCTCGCAGAATCACAGAATCACTCAGAGATCTACCTTTCTGCAATTGGCTACCTCAGTCTGCACTGAAAAATTGAAGGTTCAGTCCTAAGGAAGGTTCGGCAATAGCAATTTAGCAGATGTTTGATGGCGGGCGTGCCAGGTAAGGAGGGAGTGGGCGGGGAGGGGAGGGGCCAGTCAGTGGTGCAGAACCATAACAACCAGTTCTATAGAACTGGTCCAACCAGATAGAATTCCACCCCTGGTTAATTTCCATTTACTTACAACTGAAATGTTTGAACAGACATTCATATTAAGGATTGGAACTGTTCCCATTTTAATTTACTAGAGTAGGAAAGTTAGCTGGAAATAAAGTGATTAAAAAAACATTCACAAAATCTGATCTGTGCAACGCACTACATTTCAAATCTCCTTTTTGAAGTACCTCACACCTATTTCAACTAAGAATGCATCCCAGAATGAGTTGGTTATAACTCAGGTCCAAAAGCAAAGTGAAATACTAGTATTTCAAAATCGTCAGTATCAGTTATCATTATTCTCATGTGCCATATAAGAGAAGCCACTAGAATCTCATACAAGAAAAACATTTTATTAAACACAAAAAGTATATATTTATAACTGAAATAGCTTTTAAGCATAAAGACAATTTCATAATGCAAAACTATAGAGGAAGCCTTCAATAATAACAAATTTCCAACTGTGGACCCTATATTATATTAATTTATATTTCATATAATTAGAAAATTACTCCTTTATTTAATTCTATGGGCAGGATATTCAACTAAGCAATATTAAACACCATTGATAATTTCTATGACCACAGTTGTACTGGACACCTCAGCAAAGAAATGTCATGGAGGTGGCAAAGAGATTATGGCGGTGGCAAAGAGACCTACAAGATGACCTACAAGATCCCTTCCAACCCTGTTAATCTGTCTCAATGAGGCACTTTAAGCTGATTTGTCTAAACCAACCAGCGCTTGCAGGAAAGTGAAGTAATAAATTCACTTTGCTTTTAGTAACAAGGGTGCTATGGGGCTATGCATGCAGGTTTAAGGGGATACTTTACTCAAATCTTTATTGAAGTAAGGGACTTCACTTCACTTTGATATTAAGAATCAAATGTATAGCTACAGCATGTCTATGTCACTTATTTTTTTAAAAAATGCTAATTTCTCATTACCTGTGCTAAATTATGTTTTATTATTATTATATTTGTATCTCTTTCTGTTGAGACAGAGAGGTCAATGACATAGGAAATATTATCTATATAATATATAACATTATCTATATAGACAGATGAATTCCTAGAATTCTGTATACAAATATGGGGTTTGATATTAAAAATATTTTTCCTGAGAAAATATTTTTGTCATTGGCCACTTTAATACAAAATGAGTAAAGCTTATAAGTAATTGTGTGGAAAATAACTCAAATTAAACGCCTTGGAGCTTCAAACAATTATTCTGATTTAATAAGAAATGTTCTGTGCTTAGCAAGTTACAGTAACTACATATTCATAGACACTAGAAAGTAAAACTGATTAATACAAGAAATAATAAATCAAAACAGATTTCAAAATGGAAGGATTTCTTTGAACTCAGAGCAAAGAAAATTTTAAAACCTACTTCTGAATCCCATGGAGATTCTGTATACTTCTCTTCATCTTTGTCCTCGCCCAAAGCTGATTTAGCTATAAAATAAAATAGTAAATTCTTTACAAAATACTCAGTGTTCATTATTCAAAAACTGAGATTGTGGCAATTCAAATTAAATAACAATACTTTTCATAGCTGCATTCTGCCATTAGCTATGTACACTACTTTAATTGAAATATTGCTAAGGAGCCAAAGCAAAATTAATTGAATCTTCTTGGTCAGCCCGCAAATTAAAAAAAGTTGTTTTCAGAAAAGAAAACAACCCTCTCCTTACACAGACTTTCAGAAACAAGATGTTTTTAAACACAGAGCGTGAAAACTGAAATATAATACTCTAAAGAACAAGAGTATCCCAACAGATGTCCAGTTCATAATAAATCACTTATTTACAAATAGGCTATTTCCAGAAACAATTTTGTTTATATATTTTAATCTTATATTAAACTATATTAAAATTCATGGCAATAAGCAATTAATTATTGGTTTCATGAATTTTAGTTATTAAACTATTAGCTTAATGAAACCGTAATGCATAAATATGAGAAGTGACTTTATTATTGCTAATTTGCATGTGATGCAGACTAGTTAATATAACTAAAACTTTTTACCTTTTGGTGAGATATTCGAAGACTGTCTACAAACAATACTTTTTTTATTGGCAAAATCCTGTTCACCACCTTCTTCATCTTTTGAAGGTTTCTCCTAACAGAAAGGACAACATCCAGTCTTTATTGTATGTCCTGTTATTAGTTTAAAGAAGTTTTTAGAATGTATGACTCAAACTTTAATCTATGTGATTTTATCAGGGAGTCATAAACTGTCTGGGATATTGCAGGAATATATATTCACATATGTACTGTAATAAACTAGAGCAGTGATCTAGAACTACTAAGGTGCTCCAAGACCAAAAAAAAATAATCAAAATTATTGGGTTCTTTTTAATCTTGTGTGTCAGGCTTGGCAAAAAACGGCTGCCAAGCCTGACACACAAGATTAAAAAGAACCCAATACACAAGCCTGAGGATAGCAGATGAGATTCTGCTGAAACATCGCTATAATAAAAGCACAAATATTAAGATGTGGGAAAATACCCGAAGAAACCTAAATACCAGAGAAAAAAGTTTAAGAAATGCTGAACTAAAGCATCTTCAGTGTAATGTAAAATGTGATATTTTATAATACTAGAAAAGTTGAACATTTATTTAAAAGTACCAAGACCATAAATGATACATTTTCACTATGTACACTTATTATTTGTTACATATATTATAGTTATTATTACCATTAACAAAATAGTGGTTATTATTACCATCATTTTATTAATCAATAAAATAATAAAACAATTAATCAAATTAACCTATAAATATACATAATTATGTTACAGTATGAATCTGTAGGCCTTCTTTTCTTTGTATCATCTTCCAAGCAATTTACAATTAAAAGACAAGCTAGCAATTATAAAATTAATTTTGAGAAAAAAATTAGAAGCCATTTTTAAAAACTGGGTATGCAATCTAGGGGCATGTGTAAATGCACTAAGGTGCCTATTGTCCCTGTCATGTTTTAGTTTTTTTCATTTTGTTTGTTCAGATTTATAATTTTTGTTGATAAATGAATGAATAAATGAAGTAAAAAATAGTGGGTATCCTAGCTGTAAGTAATTTTGGCTTCATGAAAAATCAGCATCTTGAATTGTATATAAAACTATTAAGTCCGTTTGGGTATTTTTGCTTCATTTGAATATTATCAAATCTATGCATTAATCTGGATTCTGTGCTCTAAAATCAGTGGTTCCCCAACTTTTCCATCTTGGCAGCCTGCCCTGACACAGGAGGAATAGCGTTATGAGTGGCAGGCACACGCACAGATCAATTTGTGCAAGCCGAGCGCATGTATGTCCTCCCCTCACAGAAATGGAGATCGTGAGCGAGTGAAGGGTCCTTGTGCTCGCATGCAAAGCTCCACTCGTGCTCACGGCTGATAACTGCACTTGTGAATGAAGCTCCGCTCATGCAAGCGGAGAGCCCTTGCATTTGCGAAGTTCCACTCCCTCTTCATGCGCGAGCACAAGCACCCTCTGCTAGTTCGAATGGGGCTTCATATGTGCATCTGCCCACCACTCGTGTGAGTGGAGCTTCACACACATGTGCTTGCCCATTTCTCCCGCAGCCAGGTTTCGAACAAGCCCGGGGGTTGGGGACCCCTGCTTTAAATGATTTGTAATGAATTTTATTTCTCCTGTGCCATTAAAATATCATTAATGAACAAACTTGTTAAAATACAGTTTTTTATTTATGAAGTGCAATTTTATTAAAAACATTTTGCCTTTGCAATAGATTCACTTACTTTCAAATCAGATTGGGAAGTTTTCAGATTTTCATCCTCACTATGTTTATATATTGTTGGCTCATATATTGCTTCTTCCAGTTTTTTTGAATCTACATATTCCTTTTCTCCAGGAATCTGATATCCTGCAAAATCAGGATTCCTAATATTCTGTTGTGTACTTATATTATTTCTGAGTTCTACTTCTGATCCAGAATTACGACTTTCAGTATCATCCAGAATGGAATCCATGTCATTTTCATGAGAGTTAGTCGAGAAAGTAAACGTTGTAGTTTTTTCAGCATTCTTCAAAGAAAAAACAGTTTTGCAAAACTGTTTTTGATTCTCATAGGGCAATTTATTATTATTCTCAGTGTCGGGGAGTTTTTGTAATTTCTGAAATTGATTTTCATAACTAGATTCTTTTTCAACCGAATGTTCAGGTCGTTCTTTATTTACCTTGTTAGTAATTGTATGGTCACGTGAAGATTCAGGATGACCAGAAATAAAAGCTTCAGGAATATTAGTACCATCTTGCATCTTTTCATTTTGTACATTGCATACTTCATTATGAAACAGATTTGCTTCCCTCTCATGTTCATTTTCTCTGGAATGTTTTTTCCCTGTTGATTTGTCAACATATTCATCTTCCTTATCTTCTGCGTTGGTCCAATTATTTTTTATGTTTTCTTGCTCCCTTTCTGTACTGAAGTGCTCCTCCATTTCTTTTACTTCCTCCTCCTCCTCCTCCTCCTCCTCCTCCTCATCATCATCATCATTTAAATTTTTCTCCTCTTCTTTCCGCTTCCCATGAAATTCTTCCTTGCTGCTTGCAAAAGAACTATCGGAATCATTTAATTCTTGCTCATTGTGGTTAATTTTTTTTGGTATTATTTTTTGAATATTTTCTTTTGATTGATTTTTGTTTTCATTGTCTTCACAAAATCACATGTGGGTATAAAAACATACAATAAATAATAAAATACAATGGATGAATTAAAACTTATTACCTGTTTAGAATGCAATGTTCTCTGGGAACATTTGGAAAAGGAGCCAGGTGAGGAATGGACAGAATGAGGGAAGGTTTTGACTTGGAACAAAGGCTTAGGAAGGGATTCATTGCATTCTTCAAAATCATAATTTGCTTTATTTTGCTGTGAACTGCCTAAGGGTTCTGTTCGGATAGTGCAATCTTTCTCATCTACTGCATCAAAATACAAACACACAGAGAATTAAAATGCAGTAAACGTTTTCTATAGATAAGAAATATAACCATAACTTATTTTGTTCACGCAACTTACATTTTTTCAAGAAGTCCCATGGAACTTTCATTAGCCGAGCCAAACTTGGTTTTTCTGGTTTCTAAGAATAAAAATTGAAGGACAGAAGTTTTCACTGTAACAAACATTGCTATACTATCTTTATATTTTGCTCTTCTCTAAAAAAATGTAAGACTTATTAATGTATCAACCCATCCCTTTCCTATTTAATTCTGCAAACAATGGATGAATTAAGAAGTCAAACTTAAAACAATGTGGAACTTCTGTTTAAACTTCTATCCATAGTAATACTGCACTGATAATAACAATATTATTTTAATTCTAGCCACCTGGCTGGGGTGCTTTAGTTTGGAATACTGCCTTAAGCAGGATATTGAATTTATGAATAAATAGTCCAGGAGTAGGATTCTACCAATTCTGACTGGTTCTATAGAACCCCTTGTCAACTTTCTAAGCAGTTGGGTGAACTGGTAGTTAGAAGAAATCTCCTTTTTTTTTTTCCCACCCTTATTACATTCTTGACAGTATGCCTAGACTTACTGTCTCTGAAGGTCTTTTTTTCTTGATACTGAAAGGGGAAGGGTTGTTTTAACCTTTTTACACTGCTGTTGGGAGGAAATACTCCCCTAGAAATACTTCTTCTTAGCTAGCTAGAAAGATTGACATTCAAACGTGAGTTTATATACCCTTTCTGAGTTTTGGTCTAAAAGTGGTTTTTGGTGAAGGTTAATTCTGTGCTTGGTGACATTTAATCCTGTGTTTATTGATGGGATAATTTTCCCTATTCAGCTTTGTTTGGAAGGAAAAAGATTAATCTCTATTCCTGAAAAGAAACTGGTTTGAGAAATCTGGCTAGTTCCTGTGTCTTTTTGTTCTGGTAATTGGTTTAACAAGCAAGAGCTACTGTTGTGATTTGCAATACTATTTGTATTGTGTTTGAATTTTTTTCCCTGCCTCATGGTTTCTTTTTGTATCTGGGGAGGGGGTCTTCCTTCACTGCTTTAACAGTATCTGGCACTGCCCTTTTGGGGTGTACTCCCAAGAGGCAGGATGCAAGCTTGGCACCGATTTTTTTTACTGCCTTTCGGGGAAGGGGTGGCATGTGACCTTTCATTAAATCTGGATGATTTCCTTACAATATCTTGTGAGATGAGTAGCTGGTATCTTTAAGTGGTGCAAATGGTTCTAAGAATTGCTTTTCCTGGGTGTGCTCTTTCTGGAGAGCTTAAATGACCTCTCTGCTAAAGGGTTTCACTTTATGAGCAAGAGTTGGCTGCTGAGTTATCATTGTATTTTAACTATTTTAATTCCCCAAGGTGCTCTGGCACCCTGCCTGATTTGTAACTCCGGCTTGCAGGTATTTTTAATCTAATTATTGCAAGTAAAGAAGCTTTTTGTATTTTTGTACACGTAATCCTTGACTTACAACAGTTCATTTAGTGACCATTCAAAGTTACAGTGGCACTGAAAAAAGTGACTTATGACCATTCTTCACACTTATGACTGTTGCAGCATCCCCACTGTCATGAGAGGCCAGGCGAAGAGAAGCGCCCCTTCATGTGACGTTGAGTTGACCATGCCCACTAAGTCACACCCAACTAAGCCACGCACACAGAACAACAATCTGGGTCCTCGTTTTATTGACCTTGGAAAGATGGAAGACTGAGTCAACCTTGAGCCAGTGAGAATTGAACTGCCAAGTGCAACCAATTGGCCGTCAGCATAATTGACCTACAATACTGCATTCTAACCATTGCGCCACCATAGCTCAAGCTGTATGAATTGCATTAAACTTAAGATCTAAATTGAAGTTCATATCCAAACACGTATTAATTAGTATCATAACATGTTTCTCATTGTTAAGAGGTTTTGAGTGTTCACTGTACAAAATCCTACCTTGGGGCTGGAGCCTAGTTCCTCCTCTTCTGAAGAAAGCCAGCTATCATCATCTGTTTTTTCAGAATTGCTTAAACAGAGATACATATAAATAAGAATCTATCTTTTTCCAGAACTTCCTGAATTTAAATCAAAATTTAAATCGTACCTGATAGAATCTCCAGAAGAGAGGTTATCAAAAACTGCAAAAAAATCCAAACACAAATAAAAATAAAAATGCAATCAAGTGATAAAAAATTATAAAGCTTTTTTATATTAAGGTAAATCAAACTGCAGAAGTTTAAATGAAGAAATATATCTTAAAAATAAAAAATAACTTAATAGTGAAAAAAAGTTGGCAAACATTATTTAATAAGATTTTTTGTATTTATTGTTAGCTTTTCCAATTTTTAAACTGGAAGTTATATTTGGTATAAATATTTGCAGTCAATTGCATCTTTGCACAGAAGTTCATGATTTAACTCTTTTACTGCTTGTTTTATGGAATTTCCATTTCAATAGCAATTTTCTATTTGTTAAATAAAAGAATGACATGTTATTCTAAGAGTGAAATATGAAAAAGGCTAACATGCACAAAAAAACCCGTAAGCATTCAGCAGTCTTAGCCCAATTTTTATATTAATAAGCACCCAAGCATATGATGTTGATCAGGGGTGTCAAACTCAATTTCATCGAGGGCTCAATCAGCATTGATACGTTTAATGATTGCCGCAATTTTCAGAAGTTAAGGCCAGAATAGCATCCAACTATCACAGAAAGAGGTGAACTATTTCCTAAGAAAATGTCACGTAGGCTTAGCTTTTAAATCCTTTCTGTGGGTCAGCAGATTTCAACTGCAATACCAACAGCCAGGTTTATTCTACAATGTCTTTTATCCATAGAATTGCAGCAACAGAGCAACTGGGTCCAACAAAACAAAAGAAACAAGCAAACAAAATCTCATTTTAATTCCATACATAGACATAATTTAAAACATAGACTGAGCCTTGGTGGTGCAGTGGTTAGAGTGCAGTACTGAAAGCTACTTCTGCTGCAACCAGCTGAGCTCCTTCAATTTGACAGATCGAATCTCACTAGACTCAAGGTTGACTCACCCTTCCATCCTTCTGAGGTGGGTAAAATGAGGACCCAAATTGTTGGGGGCAATGTGTAAACCGCTTAGAGAGGGCTGTAGCGCACTATAAAACGGTATATAAGTCTAAGTGCTATTGCTATTGTGCTTGTCCTTCCGGGGGCAGAGCAGGGTGGAGGGGCGTGGACAGGGAATGTGACCAGCTTGACTTTGCTCACATGAGGGGTGCCTCTGAGGCGTGGAGGGAACAGGGGTCTCCGGCAGGTGGGACAATGGGTGGGAGGCTCAATCCCCGGAATGAGGTGAGGCGAGGCAGGGGGTGGCGCAGCTGCAGCTGGAAACCATCGCCCTCCAGAGAGCTTGAAGCCCTTTGTGTGATGGTTTCCAAGAGGTTGCAACCCATCAGCTGGAGTCCTTAGTCCCCTCACAGGTCTTGCCATTGGCTTGCACATAGAGTGCGTTCCCCTCACACACCCAATGCACCTCAGCCTTGCTGCAGGCTGTAGCCGTTCAGCAGACCCGCCCAGCCTGAAGGAGGCGAAGCGACCAGCTAGAAAGGCCCAATAGAGGTGGTAGAGCACACCCAGGCCCAGCAGGCGAAAGGCGGCCACCACGAGTGGGGAAAGCCGGATCCCCATCGGCACCATGGCCACCCAGGCCCAGCAGAGACGGCGAGGGAGGCATGCGATCCCAGCTGGGCCTGGGCAGCCATAACACCGATGGGGATTTGGCTTTCCCCACTCGTGGAGGCCACCTTTCGCCCGCTGGGCCTGGGTGTGGTCTACCACCTCTACTCAGCCTTTCTAGCTTGCCACTTCGCCTCCTTCGTGCTGGGAGGGCCTTGGCTCTGGGTGGCGATGGCAGCGGTCTAATGGACTTGCACCAGCCGCTGACAGCCTTGGTGGTGGCAGCGGCCCAAAGTGGTGCCAAGGTTCTTCGGGTGTGCAATGGAATGCACTCCAAGGGCAAGACCTACGAGGGGGTCGAGAAGATGACCAACCACAAACAAAATAGATGGGTCAGTGTAGGCGAGCCAATGGTGCCTGGCAGCAGCCGCCCCCTACCTCACCTTGTCTCAGCCCGCGGCAAAGGCAGTAGCCGGGGGCAGAGGAGAGGCATGCAGTCCGGCCTGCTGGATGCGCTGGGCAGCCACCTGCCCTGTTCCAGTCATATGGGATGGAGCAGGCATGTCCAGTGGTTCACATCATGTGCCTCCCCCTACTCTGCCTGCTCCTGGTGCCACCGCTGTGCCTGCTTCTTGGAGGGCTAGCCCGGTGGTCGCAGTGGCTGAGGAGCCCCTGCTGCAAGACATCTGCCCTGCATACACACACATACACAAAAGGCTGATGAGTGGGGTATGGAGATGCTGGTGCGGGCACGGTGTTGATCTGCAACCTGATGTTGGCCCTCCGGGCTGGATCACGGCCAGCCCTAAATCTGTGACATTCCCTAAGTCCTGTCCCCTGGGTATGCGCATAGGAGGCAGTGAGCGTTGGCGTCATGGGTGAAAGGGAAGCGCTCAGAACACATTCCCCAGGGACGCCAGGCCCCGCGTGCTTGCCACTTTCTGTGAGCACACCAAAAGGGCGGTGCCAAGGTGGCACCACAGATCTAAGGCTCGCCACGATCCAGCCAGAATAATTTTTATCTTTTATGATTGTAAGCCTCCCAGAAATACCTTAAGATGGGTGGACAAACAAGCAAACACTATTTAGACAAGCACAATCATATTGCAGCAACTCTAAACATCTGAAAAAGGAAACATATCATCTGTACAATATCTTTCAACACAATGGATATCCACACAACTTCACCAAAAAGTGCTGATTATTCAACTCAATGTAGCACTATCCAAGCTGTAAAAAGGATAAATTACATCAAAAACATCTCAAAAAGCACCAACAGACTATTACAATCACGTGGCATCCACATACCATAGAAATTAACTAAAGCCCTCTAAACATCCAAAGTATACCAAAAGATCCAGCAGCCTTAGAAGAAAAAACAGGAGTCATCTATAACAGTGATGGCTAACCTTTTCGGCGCCGAGTACCCAAAGTGAGTGCAGGCACCCGCAAAATGCAATACGCACGCATCCCCATGCATGCACGCCACCCCTGCACATTCATTCCCTATGCATGCCCCCCACCCCCGCATGCGCCCCATCCCCGTGCATGCATGGCAGAGACCCAAAGACCAGCTGGCCTGCGCGCCTGTGCAGCGGAGCTGCGCTGGGGCGACGGCTTGCATGCCCACAGAGAGAACTCTGCGTGCCACCTCTGACACGCATGCCCTAGGTTCGCCATCACGGATCTGTAGCATACAATGTAATGACTGCAACTGACATGACATTGGATAAACAAGCAAAAGACTAGCAGAATGCATCCATGAACACCAACTAGCAGTCAGAAGACACGATGAAAACTCCTTAATTTCACAACACACGGACATACTTAACTATAGTTTTAACTAGAAAACTGTGACCATCCTACACCAAGCCAAGTCCAAAAAACTCTAGAGAATTTCTGGAAGGCTGGTACTGACAAATTGGCCATCGATACACACATAGACATAAATAACATATACATACCATTCAAGAGACAATCAACAAGCCAAAAAGACAACAAAAAGACCAATGCTGCAGCAGCATTCAATAACCAGGTGAGCAGATATTAACACCGAGACTAACTTCAGATCAACAATCAAGAACAATATTCCAATCAAGGACTTGCCAAACAAGCTAACAGTAAACAGCCTAACCAAATAGCCACCAATTCCACTCCCACCAACACTGACAGGGCAAGCCACATATAAATTGAGAGCAAATCCACTCCCCACCAGCACTGATGATGTTACCTAGTTTGGGTAGTGAAACATCTGCAAGAAAACAACCAAGCGCAGAGAGCACTAACTCCTCATTTCAACCCTGGGCTACAAATATTGTCCTCTATCACTACCTTTTCTAAATGGAATAAGAATACAAGAAGGCTATCCGTATTCTAAACTAAATATTTAAATAAATTATTACAGAATTGATCTCTATAGATAGTTACTCCTTTTCTCAAATCCCTTCTTGACTTGTTGAGCAATTCCTGCACTTCTATTTATTTTTCTGTTTAGCACAAAGCCTGTGACCATAAAAATTCAGAACGTAAACATGTATCAGCTTATAAAGCAGTAATTGTAGCAATCACATTAAAAAAAGAATAATTTAGATTTTCTGTCCAATGGTATCTTCCGCTTATTCTCTGAAAACTACAACTAGATCTCCAAATCCCACCTTATATGGAATATTATTATTATTTGTTTGAATTTTGATTCAAACTTCATATTAGTTATAGACACTTTTTTAATACCCAAATTTGTATTTACCGATATTCAGAATTGCCATTTCATAGAAAATGGGAAATTTCTGTAAATTCTAGTTATTACAAATATGGAAACCATTCATTTTTTTGTTTTTAATATTTGCAATAGAGATATGCACAAAGCAAAAAGTTTTAATCAGAGTATAGAATAAAGCTGTTCCACCTAGAACATTCTACAGAAATATTTCAAACTGTTTCCTTCCAATCCACGCAACTCCCAAAATTTTGATTTTTAAAATGCAAGGAACATTTTAAAAAAAAACTTGCTCCCTCATTTCTTTTCTTCCTAGAATCAGTAAGAGTTCTATTCACCCATTCAATCCCTACAAAAACAGGTCACCAAATATTAAAAACAACAATAATAACCTACCAATTCTAAAAGATAGCTTTACTACTTGGAATAGCTTATATCCTCTGATGATCAAAAAAATTCTGTCTATCTCAGGTACACCTGGGAAGCATTCAACAAGTGAATAAAAACACCAAATCCAGTCTAAACTTCAGGCTGACTATGATGAACCACAATAATCCCTAACAATAGGAGTAATAATTAAACTTCTTTTTTTGCAAACTGTCTTAGAAAACTGAACTGAACTTGGAGCATACTGCTTCAAATATTCAACTGACATAAACCGATTTCAGAATTTCCAACTTAAGAATTCAAAGAAAACTTTATCAATAATTCTCAGCCCATTCTCAGCCTCCCTATAAAAGAAAGCTAATCCACAGACCACACAAGAATATCACTACAGTATTTTCAATTCAAGCCATTTAATTTTCTCTTAGCTAAAACATTAAACACAACAGCAACTTTCCATACCAAGTAGATGGAAACCTTTTTCTAAATCCAGCCAACTGATTGCTGAGCATAGGCTGACTCAACGTCAAACCAAGCTTTCTTGTCTATCCCCATTCCTCAGGATAGATGAGGACAGAATTCTTTGTGGAATTCTTTATTGGCCAAGTGTAATTCGACACACAAGGAATTTGCCTTGGTGCAAATGCTCTCAGTGTACATAAAAGAAAAGATACATTCATCACACAATAATAGTCATAGGGTAAGCAATCAAATCATACTAGGAAACAGTCCTAGTAAACAGGAAACAGTCAATATAAATCGTAAGGATACAAGTGACAAAGTTACAGTCATACAGTCACAAGTGGGAGGGGATGGGTGATAAGGAGTGATGCGAAGATTAATAGTAATAGTAGTGCAGACTTTGTAAAGAGTTGGACAGTGTTGAGGGAATTATTTGTTTAGCAGAGTGAGACTTTGTCAACAATAAAATGTTTGTTAGGGGAATAGTCTTGAAATGGGCATTTAACTCCTAAGAACAAGTTGAGAAGCTGATTATCGGGACATAAGTCTTGAGAAATACCACTGCTCCATCAAGAAATGAAGAAAAAATAAATAGCAGGATGTCAGTACATCAGCTATCCTAGGTAATATCCTATTGCTCTCATAAGTCTGACTGGAATGCAAATGTGGCAAATCACCACTATTAGGTCGGACCAGAATTGTTTATTGGCTTCCCCTCCAAAATAGCAAATTTATCTTTGTTTGACTTGCTTATAGAGTTCCTCAAGGAATCTGCAGAACTGTTTTCCTTCACAAAATTGTTATTATTCTTTAAGAAGAGGCTGACATCCCTGTTGCCAAGGGAAATCCATGGATTGCTACCTGTTGATAGGCATCCTGGCTATGACCTGTTAGTTGTCCTACGTCAAGACTAGTTTGCAACCAGCAGGTCTATTCAAAACAGATATATTAATGCTGATAATGCTTCCCTTAGAAGCATATAAGCTCGATACATATGCGCTTCAATTATAATGTGCAACGCATTATGCTAACTTTACATCATTCTGCCAAAACATAATCTTCATTAACATCCTCTTCTAACTATTTCCAAAGTCTTTTCTTAGAAAACAGTTTGCTCCATGATTTCCTTGGTATTCATAAGCTTTAGCTTAAATTCCAAACCTGCTTTGGACATGAGCTTCCAAGAGTCAAGGAAATGCATCTGTTTCCTTTGCTATGTCATACACCAGCAATTCTTATCCAATCAGTTGCTTAAATAACAAGCCACTAGAATTTCACTATAGCGTGGCAACATCCATGGAATTTTTGGGACAGCATAAATTCAACCTGCTTCTTATTGAAGCATCTTTGTCACCTCTGTGTTGTGTTTGGAAATATTCTGCAAGCCTATAGCACAAAATAAATGTTTTTTTTTTTTACAAACAATAGCAGTAATGTCTACTTCCATTTGGGAAAGGCCAGAATTGTACTAACTGACCAGCCATTCATACTATATAAAACTTTACCTTCTTTATTTTTAGCAGGAGCACCAAGTATAATACCAGTATCTCCATCTTTTTCTGGACTGCTTAATATAGACAGAACTTTTTGACCATCCAATGAGCCCTCTTCTCTATTTTTGTAGTTGGAATATTTAGCAACATACTGCTTAAGGCTAAAAGGAAAAAAATATTTTATTCAATATTGACATATTTTAATAAAGCAAAATTAATCTCAACACAGAAGAACAATATTACATAAAAAAACAATAATTTAGTTGTTTGTCTGCTTTAACACCCTGCTAATATGTTATCTAATCTTAATCCATGTTATGCTTTTTATTTTCATATAGGATAGTTTTGTTAACCATGTGATAATGAAATGACAAACATTTCAACTTACATAGAATCATCACTAATCATAGCATAATCTTTTGCTGACCATCCACTTTTATCTCTATGGGCAACATTCGATCCATGAAGGAGGAGAACATGTGTTAAGTCACGTTTTTTATTAGAAGCAGCAATCAATAGTGGAATTCTGAAAGACAAGAATGCCTCCCTCAATTACTACATATCATCAAACCTTCACTTATACTTTAACATCCTCTATTTACTCAGCATTAGTCCATCTTGCAAAAAGACAGGGGAGCTTTCACATTATACAAAGCTCCAATCTATTTACTGATTTAGCGTATGGCATCTCATACATGGACTATATACTAACATTTCACCTAGATTAAATGCAATAAAACGTAAATGTTAAATGGATGTGTTTAAATACCAATGTCTAGGCCATCTAACCATTGAAGCACAGCATCCTTTATATTAAAATATATATCAGATACTGGACCGGTATATGGTTCCAGCTTAGTTATGATGTGATTTACCATCTGACATGGGACCTGCAGTCACACCGAGTGGAAGATAATATGTCCCATTTATAGAGAGAGTCTTGATAGATACCATGTGAGGTGCAAATCCTGTTCAGGATTGTCCACTGCCAATGTGGTAGTTCAAAGCCTGGCACCATTTTTGTGGGGTCATTTATATGACTTCCTATGTCTGTGCATTCAGCGACCCATTTGGCTTTCCACTGGGAATAGAAGTTAAAGTTGTTGGCAGATGTTGTGCAAGTGCCAGTGGGGGCTTCCTGGATTTGTATCTTCTGGCTGATAAATGAGGAAGGTCTGCATGCACCAATAGGAGTGAGTTCCTCTTAATTTTTCTGTATTCTCTCATTTATGCATCTTGCCTTCATAAAGTTGGCAGTGTTATATTCCTCAGGACAGGAAGCCAGAAATTTGGAGTTATTTTAATACATGTGCTTATAATCCTTATGGTGTCGTTGAATCTGGCATCTAACTTATCAGTTTGGCAGATGTTAAGCCATACACAGTATTTTGTTGCAGAGTAAATCAACTCTAGTGCTGATAGGTTGAGGGTGATAGCTGAAGCTCCCCATTTAGCTCCCCATAATTTCTGCAGTATGTTGTTCCTAGTACTGATTTTTGTTGCCATATTCTCTAGGTGTATCACGTAGGAGAATCCAATACAAAGTTACTCAAGGTACTTTGGATGGGGATTGTAGGGGACTAAATTGTTGTTTAAGTAGACCTTTGGGGCTTCAGATGCTAGTTTGTTGTTAAGGTGGAAGCACATAGTTGTTTCACTGGTGCTAGGAGTGAGCTTCCAATCAGTGAAGTTTTCCCAAGATTTTAAGAACTTTGGATAGGAGGCAGTCAACCACCTCCATGTTTTTCTTGTACTGCTATGGCCAAATCATCAGCGTATCCAAATTTGTGTCCTGTTGTTGCAATTTGTATAAGCTGAATAGTGTTAAGTGCCATTACAGAGCCTTGTGAGAGATCTTAATTATGTTGTCACCCATTTTTATCTGAAAGGATCTATCACTCAGCATGTTATAATTAGTTGATATTTTTGAAGGGAGTAATATGAAACAGTTTGTGTAACAACCTGGCCTTCCAAACTGTGCCGCAGTTAGGTCTATAAACATGGCCATGGTTTTGAGGCATGGTTGGAATCCTGCTTCAGTGTAAGTCTGTTAGCTTGGCACCTGGTCTCCACAGTCATATTGCAAGCCGGTTTGCTCCACAGGCAGATGTTCATCTATTATGGGACCTATCCAGTTTATAATTAATCTTTCCAGGAGTTGTAGCAGCAGCTAAAGCAGCCAATTGGGCAGCAGCTTTCAACTCTGTCTTGTGGTTTGACAGGTTTTAGAAATGATATTATTTTACCGTAGCTTTTTTGAATTCTGGTGGGAGGCAGTTGTTGGAAATTACATCTGAGAGGAATTTACTAATCCAATTCCATGTGCCCCTTTTGGAGTTTATCAGGAATTTTGGATGAATGCCATTGAAGCCTGGTGCTTTACTGCATTTTGGACTATCAATGGTCAGTGTCAATTTCCTTTATAGAGAAGGGACAAGAGTACTGTATAAAAGTTCCAATGTTTTATATTTAATAAGCAAAATATATCCAAAGCAGAACATCTATATTAAATGAAGTGTTCTTTGTTCTGTGTGTAAGACTTAGGACAATAACTGCCTTTTAAAAATAACTTTTAACAGAATTAATCTCTTCCTTTCTCAGAGAAATCTATAAAATACGTTTTCCAGTAGAAAGACACTGCCATTACAAATGCATTGCTGGATCATTAAATTAATGCTAACAGAAAGTTCCTACACATACATAAAAATAGGTGTGTGTGTGTCGGGGGGAGAAAGAATATGAAGATTTGTTTATAACAAAAAAAATAAACTAAATATAAAAGCTAGTCATGTGCTTTTTTTTTTTTACTGAAAACAAATTGAAAATGGCATTGAACAGAAACATCAGTATTTTCTTTTAATGTAAACTACTTTAACAAACCCACATTTTTTTCTTTATTTTCAAGGTTTTATCTTTTGATCCCAAAAGCATATAATACAGCTGGAAACAAAACTTTAGGATAAGACTTCAGTGTAATGTTAACGATAGCACCAAACCATTGATAAAGATTTTTTTTTTATATTGAGAAAATGTTGTTCTAAGCAGACTGATTATCTGTTAAATTCAGGGGCATGAACACTTAAAAACAATCCTAAAACCCTGGAAAGGTTATCAACTAAATGACCCAAACTGTACCTTCCCAATTTATCTGTGGCGTGCACAGATGCTTTTTGTTGAAGAAGAAACTCTACCATTTCTCGATTATTTTCAGCCACAGCAACAATTAACGGTGTGCATCCATCCTGCAAAATAAAAAAAAGGAATACATATATGCATAGCTTCTGTTTATTATTAATGAAATGCAATGTCCTGTACCCAAGCCAGACAAAAAGGATAAGAAGTTTTCTTTCTTTCAAACTGCTTCTAGATGGGCTTCTGTGTGAGTTAAACATCTCTGAAATAATATTTTCTATATTTCTCCTGGTACTTGGCTTTAAAATCTCAGATAATTTCAAACATTTGTGCAATATTCCAGATTTGACTATTATTAACTACAAAAGATACTTATTATTTATTACACATTAGTCTCCCAGTAAATAATGCAGTGTTTTTTTTCCTGTAAAAGAATTACAGAATATGTATTGGCTTATACAAAATCAAAAACTACTTAATATATTAAGTAAACTACTGGAATTTTACCTTATTTTGTGCTTCAATGTCAGCTTTCTTTTCAAGCAGATATTTTGCTAGAGATACATTAGAATTACAGGCAGCAAAGTGGAGGGCAGTGTTGTTGTCTATGTCCCTCAGATTAGGATCTGCTCCATGTTCAAGCAGATAAATTGCACAGAATTCTTGCTGGCATTCCACCGCCTAAAGATTTAAGAAGCTGTTAGGTCTCCAACTTACTTTCATATACCTAGGTAATACTGTCTATAATTTAAACAAAACAAAGCTACCACTTTTTCTTGGTCCCTTTTGATTATAAGCAGTATTAACAATTTATTATACTGATAGTTTTAATTAAAAGAGAAGTTATAGAAATTTGGCTTTATACTACTAGTAAATTTGCACTATTTTAAATGCATACCTTCATTAATGGAGATCTCTTCTCTTTATCACAGTTATCTAGTTGGCATTTGTTGTCCACCAAGAAAGTAACAATGTCTATATATCCATTAGCACAGGCAAAATGCAAAGGTGTTCTAAAAGAAACCATATTATAAAAGAAGGCATATTCAGTCAATAAGTAAAATAAAAGTATAAAAGTAAAGTACACCTTTGTTTTTCTTAAGAACATTTTGATTTTGTATGTTTGAACTGTATTTCAAAACTAGGGTTCAACATATGAGGCACTAGAATATACCCACGTGCTCTGTATACTCCAGTGGTAAAGCTCTACAATATATAAATTGCAGACTTAGTTAATTAGTTCTTCCTACTTGAAAAAAGTAAATTATACTTTGCAAGAAAGAATAAAGCCTAAAATACAACAGAAGTGAATATTATTTGCTTGATTTCAAATACAAATATTTTGATACAATTCAATTGAAATTAACTAATAACATGTATTACAAATTCTAAAATAATCCAGCCACTATTTCCCAGTCACTGATAGATATTAATGTGATAACTATAGAAAGGAGGAAAGAGAAAATTCCCATTATAGGATGGTTTATTCAAACATTGTTAATTAAGGTATGCTTTTTAAAACTAATAGAACTGCAAAACTTCCTATTCAAACTTACATACTGAGCTGTTTGCAGGACTCTTAAGACATCTGCATTACCATCTATTATTCCTAGCCCTCCATATAGCTTTCACTGTGACATTATTTACATAATACAAGTAGCATTATGCAAGTCATCAACTGACAACAGTGCATTTAATAACACTTCAATGGCACTGAAAAAATTGACTTATGAGTTTTTAAACTTCTAACTGTGGGAACATCCCCGTGATCAGGTGATCAAAATTCAGATACTTGGCAACTGACTCATATTTATGACAGTTAGTCTCCCAGGGTCAGCTGATCAACTTTTGCAACCTTCTGACAAGCAAAGTCAATGGGAAGCCAGATTCACTTAACACCATGTTATTAACAGCAGCAGTGATTCACTTGACTATTGTGGCAAGGAAGATTGTAAAATGGGGCAAAATTCACTTAAGAAATGTTTCACTTATAGCAACAGAAATTTTGACCTCAACTGTGGTCATAAGTCAAGGACTACCTGTACAGGAACCAGCAGCAGAGTTCAGCATATAAAAAAGTGATATATGAAAAAAGATACTTGAATAGTAGAGTTAATAGGAAGGATGTCATATTAGAGACATACTATAAGAAGGGCATTTGAAGGTAGGTACGCAGTATTAAGCATGTGGTTTTAGTTACAGGTAATCTTTGAATTACAACCACAACTGAGCCCAAAACTTATGTTCTAAATGAGACATTTGTTAACTAAGCTTTGCTCCATTTTATGACCTTTCTTGCCACAGTTAAGGGGATAACTGTAGTTAAGTTAGTAACACAGTTGTTCAGTGAATCTGGCCTTTAGTTGTCAGGTCACAAAAGGTGATCTAATGATTTCAGGTCACTTGCAATCATCATAAATATGAGTCAGTTGCCAAGCGGCTGAATTTTGATCCCTTGACCATGGGAGGAGGTGCTGCAGTGGTTGTGTGAAAAATGGTCCACAAGTCACTTTTTTCACGGATGTAACTGTGAATGGCCACTAAAACGAACAGTTGTAAGTCAAGGACTACCCTGTACAGTGTGCCCTAGTTACAGTGTGTCTGGTATAAGTGGGAAAAGAAATGAAGTTTACTTCCAGAAGCCTATTCTCATTTTTATGGCTTGCAAAAGGACTGAGCATTTGACAACATGAGAAGCTTCCAACCATGGGATGGTATTTATTCTTGAAGGGGTTCTTTTAAGGACCCCCATCCGGGTGCCCTCCAGAGGTCATCAAGTCGCCTTCCCACACAGTGAAAGAAGCGCTGGGGGGGAAACCTCAATTGCCCCAGCAACCTTCAGCGCTAAGGCTCTTGAGCAAGAGGCCCTTCCAGCCCAGCTGCTCCCCAGGCCGTCCACACAGCCCTCCACGTGGGCGTGATTTGGATCCGTGACGGGCCTGAAGCGGGTGGCGGGAGGAAAGAGGAGAAGCTGGTGTTTGCGTGGGAAGACGAGGCGGGAAAGGAGCCCAAGGCCTGCTCCGTCCCCACCTGCCAGCTTGGTCCTGTTCGTTGAGGTCGTGTTTCTGCAGAAGGTGCCGGAGTTCCCCGAGGTCTCCTTCGGCCGCCGCCCGGTGCAGCTTACTCAGCTCCTTGTTCTGCGAGGCGTAGCCGTCGCCGCCGCTGCTGAGGAGAGCGCCCGGGGCTGAGGCGCAAGCCACGACGCGGCTCCGCAACGGAGACTGCCGCCCGTTCTTCTTCCTCCCCAGCCCCAGGATTTTCTTCACCTTCTTCATCCTCCGGGTCGAGGAGGCGGACGGGGAGGAGGACTTCGAGTCACGACGACGACGACGACGGGCGTCGCGGCATTGGCCGACACCGAGTCGCTTCTCCCGGCCTCACGAACCCGCTGGGGTGCAGCATGCCTGCCTGCCTGCCTGCCTGCCTGAACGCGGTCAAGGCCGGCCGCAAACTCCGGCCGGGAGACGGCAGTTGAAAACGGGGCGTCCCATCCCAGAAGCCGCGGGCATCGATTTTACGGCGTCAGAGCGAGGGAAGAGCCACAGGCCAAGGCGGAGTTGCGCGGTAGCCACGGCAACGGCTTCCCCCCCCCGGGGCGGCACTGCGCCTGCGTGCTCAAACTTGTTTTCATGGGGGGGCGACCACGTGGCTTACGACGGCGCAGGCGCAGTCTCCCGTCATTTCTGCGTCCTGGAGTTTCGTTTTCGGGAAGGAGATCGCAGAAACGGTTGAGATTTGGCTTATTATGGCAGCTGTCAAGCCAGCCTGCCGTACTTGGCTTCGAGCTTATTGCATGCTGCTCGGAAAACTTGATAAGATCAAGTGCCAACTGCAATTTTCTCAGAGCCTGATTGTCAGTGCGGAAGAGTTGCAAGCATAGCATTCAATGTCCTATCAATCGCTTTTATCCGAATCCAGTTTATTCTTATTTTTATTTGATTTGATTTGTCAATTGCTTACAAGATAATAGCTATAAGTATAAACATAGTTATGAATACGTGGATACACATAAGAAAAATAAAAGAAACTATTGACCTCACCCCTTTCCTAAGAGGTCTGTAGGGGGCGTGCATAAGCGCACCAACGTGCCTACCTATTGTCCTATTGTTTCTCTTATTCTTCTTTTATTTTTCTTATATGTACCCATTTCATGTATTCACAACTATGTATACACTTATACTTATTATCTTGTAAACAATTGGCAAATCAAATAAATAAATAAAAAATAAATAAATAAGTATAAGTATAAACAGTTATGAATACGTGGATACATATAAGAAAAATAAAAGAAACAATAGGACAGGGACGGTATAAGTATAAACACAGTTATGAATACGTGGATACATATAAGAAAAATAAAAGAAACGATAGGACGGACAGTATAAGTATAAACATGGTTATGAATAGGTGGATACACATAAGAAAAAAAACGATAGGACAGGGACGGTATAAGTAAACAGCTATGAATACATGGATACATATAAGAAAAATAAACAATAGGACAGGGATGGTATAAGTATAAACATAGCTATGATTACATGGATACATATAAGAAAAATAAAAAACGGACAGGGATGGTATAAGTATAAACAGCTATGAATACGTGGATACATATAAGAAAAAAAACAATAGGACAGGGACAGTATAAGTATAAACATAGTTATGAATAC